TGAGAAACAGACGACCGGACGGACTTCGTGGCGGGGGGATAAAAATGATTTAGTACCCCTTTTCCGCAACCCCCATGAAGTGTCAACAAGGACAGTCTAATGCTGCAGCGGATATCCAAGCTGCAAAGGCCGCCTATAAAGGGGCCTTATACTCCAGCAAACTTAACACGACATGCTACAGCTATAGATAAAGAATAAAACGTCAGGCTGGTTTGGCTAATGACAATCAATTTGAGATGTATGAATGAATATATTTTTAAAAATACCAAATTATGTGAAAATATGTGTTTACTACAGTGGTTAGGCAACTGCTTTCAGCGTTGTGACGTTTGAAAATCATTGTCGTGACAACCATCATGTTTATGATTTATTAATACATGCTACTGTCAGCATCACATTGAGATCCATGTTATCTCACGTCCTAGTTGCAGTGACACGATACGATCCGATAAGATAACAGGATGTGCAGGGAGCTGGCTGATTACGCCGTTGTTTGTTTGTTTATTTGTTGTTTAACGCCGCACTCGGCACTATTCCAGCTATATGACGGCGGTTTGTAAATAATCGAGTCCGGACCAGGCAATCCAGTGATTGACATCATGAGCATCGATCCACACATTTTAGACACGATGACATGCATCAACCAAGTCAGCGAGCCTAACCACCCGATCCCGTTAGTCGCCTTTAACGACAAGTATAGTCGCCTTTACCGTTGTATTATTACTATCACATCAAGTGTTTCTCCTTTATTTAGCTGAAAACGCCCTTCAATGATACACACTTATTCGATAGATACACATTTATTCCATTTATTCATTTGCTTTGTCAACGGGCACGTTGACGGGGAATTAGCTCTTGTGGGGAAGAAGGACAAAATCGACATCACTGTACAACATGTAAACAATCAACAACAACTGCACAATGAGTGGAATACCTGCTCTGACAACACAAACACAGCGATGAGCGGACCTTCCAGCTCAGGCGTACAAGAGGTGAGCGGAGCTCCAGCTCACCCCAGGGCGTTTCCTACGAGCGGGACATCCTGCTCGAGGTCGTCCCTATGCCAGCACTCGGAATACCAAGCCCTACTAACACCGTAGTAACTGTGTAATGGTAGCACATATATAGTAATGAACAACAATGGACAGACAAAGAGACAATGACATTGTTTTGGACATTGGACATGTGGGCGTGATTAACCAACACAGTTCATGGGATGATCAATTAGGGCAATAAACTTGAAGGGAAGTGATATGGTAGTCCAGGCTGACTGACAGTCAATGTACAATGAAATGTTGGTGAGGATTAACAACGGGGATAGCGCCTAAAACGTAATGACAATTAAGTTATGGAGACATGGCCACAGGCCTAGGGTAATTTGCCTTAGGAGTCAAATGTACTTCAGACAATGGTAGTCATAAATCAAACGCTATGACAGCTTCATAGATGCAATATCTTATCAAAATGAACATCTGCCATAAAACAATTTTCGGCAAAATCCAACTATTTTACTTTCAATCCGCAGAGGTCTACAAGCACAGATATGGCTACTGATCCCGCTTGGCTAGGCCTAGTGCCCTCGCAAATTTGTTTCGAAATTTATATCTCCAAAGTAGCCAAAACTTAAAAAATGCCTTAGCTACGTCACAGTTAGACACTGATTTTCAGTATATAAGACTGTTCTTTTGATAATGGTAGCAATTATTCCTGTAGTTTATCCAGATTCCCGATGGTAAAATCTGACTCGATCGCCGAATGACATTTGCGACGCCATGTTTGTTTTTAAACACTGAAAGTAGTCCCTACTTGACCTTTGATATTTGCATCTCTATCCGCATATGACCCCAACTGATATAGTTTTTATCCGTTGGCTTTATCCTGCCGAAAAACCTACCCGTTATATGATAAATAATATTACACAATCTATCAACATAAGTTTGTAACTCTGTAAACAGACACAAATATGTTTCATCTAAAGTGATACATGAAAACTTGTTGCAAAATATATATTTTATGTGGAAATATAAAGAAGGCAGTCCCTTTCAAGTTGCAGATATACAATGCTTCCATTCATGCCAATGCATCTTTGGGAATGTATATATTTCCCTATATAAAGACAGTGTTTCCCCATGTATCTAATTGATTTCCACCAATTTACTGATTATCCAAATGTGTTACATATTGTCCTGAATTGGAACGATTGCCAGAAACACGACCGTGATTCTATGTGAAACCATCTTCACAAGGCAAGGGCGTTAACTGTTTGTTTGTTTGTTGTTTAACGCCACACTCAGCAATTTTCCAGCTATATGACGACGGTCTGTAAAATGATCGAGTCTGGACCGGACGATCCAGAGATTGATATGAAGAGCATCGATCCGCAAAATTGGGATACGATGACATGCATTGACCAAGTCAGCGAGCCTAACTATCCGGTCCCGTTAGTCGCCTCTTCCGACAAGCACAGTCGCCTTTTACCCCGGATCTTCCCGAGTCAAGGGAGTGAACTAAATGTAAAAGTCTAGTTTTCATCCTTGCCGCATTAGGCTGTTATTCTGGAGTTACATTTTGCTGGACTAACGAGTTTATGCATAGTCCAATAAAAATAGTAACAAACTAGACATCCGGATCGAAAGCAACATGGATTTCAGCGTGCAGATTTCGGTCGACAACAGGATTTGCAAATGGAATCTGATTGGTCAATAGGAGGCACATAGAAGGGGCATTACTCGTAATAGCCACTGGTTGCGCTACGGTCGAGCCTGGAAATTCCAGCTTGGAAACTGTCAGTTAACGCCCTTGCCTCGGGAAGATGATGTGAAACACACTCTTTCGTTAGGTAAACTATAGGTGAGCAGTTCCTGTAAATGCACATGTATAGATGTAGGTAAAATGCTGTTTATACATGTTAATGACCCAAAATATAAAATGTAATGGCAGCATCTGCTTCTCAGTATAAACAAATATATTTAATCAGTACAAATATACCATGCATAAAAATGTTTTGTGACATGAATGCAGATACTATCCATTCTCTTGGTACTAACTGTTTAAAAAATATATATACATGTTGTCTATCCAAAAATACAAGTTTGACTTCATGTAAAACACCCCTTGCTCTATGGAAACCAATCGTTTGTCTGTGTGAAATAACTGACCATTAATGCAAATATACATAGCTTTCTTCTTTATGCACCTGCAAACATATTATGTTCGATGCTGTTACGTGTGGATCCACTAAACTGTTTCCATACATAACAATGAGAGGTTACACAACAATTTAAAAATAATTTAATACTGGCAGTCTAATCAAGCTTCATATTATTCACAAATAGCAAGTATCAATCACAATAAAAACAGTCTTACTTAGACAAAAATATATACCCGCCCCTCTATTCCTTTAAACAGAAATATATAAACTGAATGGCAGGTTTTACATTGAAGCATATTTTGAAAAGTATTTGCTGCTTCAGGAAAGAACATATAGGAAACACGAGCCATTAAACATCATTTTGTAAGTAATACTGTATGTTGATTGCCAAGACCTCTCAACCAACTCTTAAAAGAACATCATGCCTCTGTCCTAAAAAAAGACTCTAAATCTGCAATCTCTGACCACACCAAAATTCACCCAAGCCATAATATTAAGTGGGACAACGTCAACATATTAACAACAAACAAGAAAGTCTTCAAGCTCAGAAAATTTAGAGAAGCCATTTGCATCAAAAGAATTCAGCCAGCCATAAACAGAGATCAAGCATACTACATCCCTCCAGCTAACCATGATCTCATCAGCTTGCCAAAACAACAATGAACTATTATCTCCCCACTGGCTTCCCATACATTCCTTCTTATCTGTTATATAAACATCTATCTATTGCTATGTATATATATCATGCTCTTACCTAGTTTGTAGTAATCACAGAGTAATCACTAAACTCCAAACAGGACACACCAACCTAAATAACCACCTAAAAAATTTAAAAAAACACACTACAGGTAACTGCCCACACTGCAAACAACCAGAAACCCCAGAACACGCACTCATCCACTGCACACACTACCTAACACATCGAACCGCATTACAAACCACCCTCAATCTAAACAAGGCTCTAACTCTAGAAGCAATACTAAACCCACAAAATAAACTAAAAATACTTCAAGGCCTTAGGCGTATTCTTAATAAAAACGGAACTAATAAAACGCATCTAAAAACACAATAACCTACCAAATCAAATTCACATAAACAAACAAACATCCACCATACCCAGCTCCCTTAGTTCTCCTCCCCAATCCCATCGGCATCTATTCCAAATCTCAAATTCCCAAATTCTATATAAGCAACCCCTAAAACCCCCCTCTTGGGTTGCACAGACCACTTTCGCCCCTTTCGGAAACACATTAAATGGCCTGGCCGGGCCCGTGTGCGAAATACGCATCAGTCGGAAAGCGCATGTTAAATCTCCAAAGTAAGTTAGTAAGTAAGTTACTTTGTAGTCATTACCGTAAAATAGCTAATCTACACACAACAGGAAACTGCCCACATCGCAAACAACAAGAAACACCAGAACACGTACTCATTCACAGCACACACTACCAAACACACCGAACAACACTACAGACCACCCTAAATCTTAAAACCGGACTTACACTAGAATCAATCCTAAATCCACAAAATAAATTAGAAAAATTCAAAGCCTTAAGCATATACCTAATTAAAACAGGACTAATTAGTCGCATTTAAACCCCAAATAAAATTTAAAACCAAAACTACCTTATCTAACAACCACCCAACACACACAGCTCCCTTAGTTCGTCCCCCACCCACTCTTGGCATTCTTTCCAAGTCTCAAAATTTCAAAATTACTATATAAGCAACCCCTAAAGCCCCCCTCCTGGGTTGCACAAACTCACTTTTCCCCTTTTTGGAAACACATTAAATGGCCTGGCCGGGCCCGTGTGCGACATACGCTTGCAGTCGGAAAGCGCACGTTAAATCCCCAATATAAGTAAGTAAGTAAGTAGTTTGTACATCATTTGCTTGATAACGGTGTTAGAATCTACACCGAAACGTCGCCCAATTGTAATAAAGAAGTTGCTCATCCATAACAATTTTGTCTTAGTAAATATAAACTTGATTCAATGCTTCTAAGGAAATATCAAAGAATACTAATTGTATATACAAGTATAAAAATATAGCAAAATACAAGAGTTCACCATCTAGTTTCACCAAGTGTTTTGAAGACATAAGTGAAAATCCTGCTCTGGATAATAACCACGTCCAAAACGAGGTCTGTACCACTTGTTTCCAGACCACCCGATCCCGTTAGTCGCCTTTTACGACAAGCAGAGTCACCTTTTACGGCAAGCATGGGTTGCTGAAGACCTATTCTACCCCGGAATCTTCACGGGTCGCATCCTAATAGAATATAGAAGCTGTCATCCATAAACTATCTTGTCTTTACTCGTTGGTGCTTTGTTGTTTTAAATGGGTAGCCATCTCGTGACCATATTCCTATATCCATCGCAGTATATGCCATTGGGAGGGGTTGGTTAACAAACACCTCACTCAGTCTTCACGTTGAGTCCGTTCTTCACTCTCGGCTATGGCTTGTTACCCATATATGGTAATGCTTGTTGGGCAAAAGACGTTAAAGTCTACGATATGCTTGTGTGGTCGGGGGGAAGGTGTGTGCGTCCACAAAACACCTCTCAGTTCTGTATGCATCCAACAGTTTCTTCCAGATAGGGTCACATTTAAGTAGATGAGAATTCCCTGAAACAGGATTATAGATTAACAAACAAAGGCGTCAAAATCCTTCCCATATTCATAAGAAATTTCCGCCAAAAGCAGAGTCGATTGTACTATTTCGTCTATATGGTGAGCATGTTTTTATGAATCACCATCAAACAGTGACGACACCGGGTGTTCGCGAAAAGCTGAGCGTAGGAAAGTCAATTGTTTGCCTGGAACATATGGTACAAGTCCAAAATAGGTAACTGTATCGAACATTTGGAAATGCCCTCAACATGTCCACCATAAAACTTTTTGAAAGCCTTACTGAGGCATTGAATGTTGTTACCTTGATCAAACAACTCCTGAGCAAGAGTTGGATGACGCTCTTTGAAATCTTGGGACAAAGAGCATGCTCGATTGTACCTCAAAAGTTGTGAAATGTAGATACCAAGGGGTGGAGCTGCTGGAATATTGCTCGACATAAAGGGAAAGTTGAAATCATCCCTCTTGTCATACAGTCTTGTGCAGAGTATTTTGTCACTCTGAATCTTTATGCATAGATCCAAATATGAAACGGATGAGGCGGTCCCACTGGTTTTCTTTATTTCCGGTTCAGGTGGGTAAATCAGTGGAAGGGAATGGACTCTTTCATGGTTATTAAACGATACCAGATCAGCGATATACCTAAAGTTAAACGTCTTGGTCAAATTACCTTGTTTTCACTTTCCCAATTCAAGCGCATGAAGAATCAGATCAGCAAGAAGGGAAGCACAATTGCAGTTCATGGGTATACCTACTTCCTGCTTGAATCTTACACCCAAATTTTACATAGATGTTATCATTGAGGAATTCCAGCATCCCACATAATGTTTCCCAGTGAACTTCAAATGTCATTTGCTATCATTTTTGAAAAATTGTCCTGAACCTCTGAAGATAGATATGTAACTGTATCTATGTTGATTTAAACAGTATTTTATTTCCATTAATGTTCAGATTTAACATTAAATAGCATTACAAAATGGAAAAAGGATTAGCAAACAGGCCAAAAAGGCCTATATTAATGCTTCTCCTAATATTGTACATTATACATGTAGATTGTAATGAAGTCTATAGAGCAGACATTAATGAGTAACACAACATGAAATAAAATGGAAAGCAAGATACCAAATGCATTTTATATTCTTAAGTTGACACAAAACTTACGTAAAGCGGTTTGTTTCAATGATGTAATTGTGAACTGATTTTATAATGTTTTCATTGTCTGAGGAAGATGAATCTTCATTGCCGTGGAGTATAGTATGTATGCTGAGCTGGTTAACAAAAAAGTGTTTATCAATTCTAAACTTGGCATAGCGTGGACAAGATAGAAAAAAGTTGAAAGCATCTTCTCTATTTAGGCCACATGGACAGATGGGATTATCAATCAGAAATCTGTGTTCACCACGTTTTATAACAAAACGCTCCAAGCATATTACTGTAGAGCATGACATTGCATCGACTCGACTATTTATCGATTTATTATATGGACAGTATTTCAGCTTTATCGCGACGTGAGTTGGTGAAAGCATAGTAAAGACTGTCCTTGCTCATGAAATGAAAATAATCGTGAATATGAGTTTTCCCTAAATGTCGGGCAACTATTTTGTTCAGGTGATTTTCAATGATTATCAAGCCTTTCCTCGCTCAAGTGAGAGCATGTTGACAAAACATTCAGACCTTACCAATGAATATCAAGCTTTCCTCGCTCAAGTGAGTGACAAAACATTCAGAACTTACCAATGATTATCAAGCCTTTCCGAGCTCGAGTGAGAGCAACGTTGATCTGATTTTCATCTGTGATGAAACCCAGGTTGTGCCTGCGCCACCCCAATGTTGGCTTGTCCTCTATCTTGTACTGGGGGAGTGATCGCACAGTGCTGAATATGACATAGTCCCATTCACCACCTGCAGAAGAAATTAAGGGTTTCAAATGGTTGGTTTGTACATCTTTATCGTACATAAATCAGCATAACAGATGGTTACTTCTCATCCAGTTATTGGTGGCACAGGTGGCCAAGTCGTCTAAGGCGCCGTGATTCGCTGTGCAGAGTTGCGTCCCTTGGGCACGCCAGAAACCTATGAGTGTGGGTTCGAATCCCGTTTCGCCCCGATTATGTTTCGAGGTTTGTCAGCACATTACCCATGCTCGTGGGTTTCACCGAAGTGGTAAACGTCTGAGACCTGCATCACTACGGGCTTTCCTCCCACATTAAGCTGACACGCCGTGATGTAACTGGAATATTGTTAAAAGCGGCGTTCAGCCCAAACTCACTCACTCATCCAGTTATTCTTACTGGTACTGGTGATGACGGCCATCTCCCAACATGACAAGTATTTTCTCATGTTTAGAAACTAAAACATAGGTTAACAAGTTATACTCTTCCTACTGGGACACATCTGTCACAATGACACAACACACACATGGTATTCATGTTAAACTGTATCTGAGTGGGTTAGCACTATAAAATCGGCAAAAGTCCGGACTAACCACACATGTCGTTAGATAAGTGAAATAATCCCATTAAAACCCATTTCACCTCACCTCATATGTTTCATGTTCTATATCTGTTTGAAGACATTTGATGTCACACACTTTTGTTTTCTTTGGGATATATTTGATAGAGTTGATGTCCTTAAATCTGTAGTTAGAGGAGAGAGCGAGACACATACGCACACTTACACACCCTGCTCTGATATGCCTGAACGTAAGACCTAATTTGGCTCAAATACCTTCTGTCCATTCCAAGTCAAAGACAAAATAGGTCGAGGCTTAGCATTGGTGGTGTCAATGCTGTTATAATAATATACATAGTAGCCTCAAAAGCCCTTCTGCAAAGACTAGATAGTAACGTCGAAGCTGTGTCATTGCTATTATTATTATTTAAATAAAAAGCGTCCAAAGCCTTTCTGCAAAGAATAAATAGTTTAAGTCGAGGCATTGCCGTTATAATCAAGAAATATCTACTAACAGTTGTCGTTAGATTGTATAAATGACATATTGAGAACTGTAAGGTGAGGCTGGACATACAGGTTGCAAAATATGTTGTGACTTTTTGTAGGCAAGAAGTGATCTGATCCTAATCGCTCCTTCAAGAAGATCTTGGGCAGAATAGGTCTTCAGCAACCCATGCTTGCTGTAAAAGGCGACTATGTTTGTCTTAATAGGCGACAAACGGGGTCGGGTGGTCAGGCTCGCTGACTTGGTTGATACATGTCATCGATTCCAATTGCGTGGATAGATGCTCATGATATCAATCACTGGATTGTCTGGTCCAGACTTGATTATTTACAGACCGCCGTCATATAGCTGGTATATTGCTGAGTGCGGCGTTAAACAACAAACCAACCAACCAACCAGTCATATTACGTAGGTCTGAATGACAGCTACCTTGACTCGCAACCACAGTCTGGACTCGGGGGTCTTTTAGGTTTTTGTCAGCACCTGATTTCTTCTCCAGCATTTCTTTGATCAGACTTCTCTGAGCATTGTACTGGGACATAATGTTGATTTTCTCAAGAGGTATCCTGTCTCGTTTTACCAGATACATCAGCACTTCCGTCTGAAAAACAGAAGGTGCTCCCTTGTAGTTAATTGTTTGTTTCTTTTTTATGCCACAGTCAGCATTATTCCAGCTATATCACGGCTGTGGGTTACGAATCTAGTCCGAGTCTGATAAACCAATGACTGGAACAATGTACAACGTTCCACGACGTCGAGGAACGATGACAGGCAACATAGCAGCAGTGGAGGACTGGAGGTAATAGTTATTCTAGCCCGGACCCAGATAGTAGGGTAGTAATTATGACGACATGTTTCCTCGTTATAATGTTATGAGACAAAAGACAAAACATCACTCTCCATGTTTATATCAATGAACACAAATTCTAACATGAGTTAAAAAGAACATCATATTTGTTCCATTTGTGGACAACAGTAATTAGTAGAGTTAAAACAATATGAACCACCTTTTTTCAACTTTCCAAAATGAGACTTGGGCTAAAGTGCTTTTAAATCCATCCAAAATTAACGGCCGAAATAAAATAAATTCAAGTCGGTGTAAATGGCGAAACAGCTGTGGAAATCATATAAATGGACCACTGAAAATCAGTGATGTCACCAGGTGTTCGCGAAAGGGTAAGCATGACCTGCCCTACCGGAAGCACCCGCCATGCTCAAATGTTAAATAAATGATAAAATAGTAGATAACTAGTCATAAATTTCGATCATAAACAGACCCGTGAAGATCCGGGGTAGAATAGGTCTTTAGCAACCCATGCTTGCCGTAAAAGGCGACTAACGCGATCGGGTGGTCATGGTCGCTGACTTGGTTGATGCACGTCATCGATCCCAATAGCGTGGATCGATGCTCATGATAATTATCACTGGATTGTCTGGTGCAGACTCGATTATTTACAGACCGCCGTCATATAGCTGGAATATTGCTGAGTGCGGCGTTAAACAACAAACCAATCAATCAATCAAACGATCATAAACAACTTGCGTCACCCGTAGGTGCAACCCGTAACAAATCTGGTTAAATCAAAACTAACCACTTTTTCAGCTTCCTTCCTGTTAGACTTGGACTGTTCGTTGCCCTCCTGTGTAGTGACAGTGAGGGTCTCCTCCTTCCCAACCACGTGGCAGAACACCTTGGGGTTGGTGGTCACCGGCCAGATGGACAGCTCCTGTCCTGGGGCAATATACCAAGCTGCACGTTCGGGGCGACTATCTTCTGTCCTAAGATTCCCTTGGTAAAACTGGCTTGATGGAAACTTGCATATCTCTGGGTGCTGTGGGTCGATGAATAATTAATGTTAAAGAAGACCATTCAGTTATCCTTGGGTAGCATTTTCTGACTGATCATTCACAACACAGCAATTTCTAACCTACATGTAAATCCAGTTTGATAAATGTATTACCCCAAAAGAGGCTTGCATATTGTTTCATACAATTGAACCATTTAGAATTCCCACATAACAAGAACCTTTTCTTCTTCAGTCAATGTATTTCCGTTTGAGAAAAATCCTAACCAAAAACATATGTCAAGTTTTTACCATACATCAATGTGTTTGTTTTAAAAAAACAACAAAAAAACAAAACCCCATTTAATTACACAGACCATTTTTTCAGTTAATGTCCAGAAAGTCACACCACCTCAACGTGTAAACCTTACCTCTAGGTAGGACAAGTGGCGGTGGAGTAACCTTGTGGTTAAAGCGTTCGAGACCTGGGTTCGATTCCCCACATAGGTACATTGTATGAAGCCCATTTCTGGTGTCCCCCGTCGTGATATTGCTGGAATATTGCTACAAGCGGCGTAAAACCATACCCAATCACTCTAGGTGGCACAGACACAGTACGAGAGTGTATAATTCCCAGTTGAGCACGATTTTGAATTCAGTGAAGGTCAAGCAGACATTAGCGTACCTACACATTTAACTGGGATTAACTAACTACAGTAAACTACGGTTATAACGAACACGCTTATAACGAACTAACGGATATAACGAACTAACTTTTTAGTTCCGACTATATGCTGTAGTTATGATGTATATATGCTTATAACGAATTACGGTTATAACGAACAAAACTTAGTCGTCCCTTTGAGTTCTTTATAACCGTAGTTTACTGTACTTACTTTATTTGGCTAAAACAAGTAAACACCAACCATTCTATACTGGATATTCAGAAACGCTGCATCCTTCTGGTATCTTTCAAACAGCGACTGGTCAAGACCTAGGTTGGCTGCATGTGAACACTTCACAATCGGCCTCAGCTGCCGGTGGTCGCCTATCAGCACCACTTGTTCTGCCTTGGTGGCGATGATTGGGATCATAGTCTGGGGCTCTGTGCACATGCCGCTCTCATCGATGATACATTGGTTGATGTTGGCTACTTCCGTCAGCTTCTTGCCTCCCGCTACTACGCATGTGCAAAGGATGACATCACACTGAGCCAGTTCATGCTTCTCGGCTTGGGCTATGAGCTTATCGTACGCCTTTAAATCTTCCAAGGTAATATTCTCCTGTAAACAGTTTACAAGATCATCAACATGCATGTCTCATTGTAATAAGATATATAGAACTATGTATGTCGTATGGTGAGGTGAAATGGGTTTTAACGTCGCGTCCAAGATTATTGCAGCGACGTGCATGTATGTGTATGTGTGTGTGTGGCTGCTTGTACTAGTCCCGACAAATGCCGATTTAAAGTGCTAGCACACTGAGATACCATGCCGCAGTTTAACATGAATACCCAACTCAGACACAGTATACTGACTCCGAGCCGATCAGTCCTTGTTTTAGCCCCTTAATGCTGAGCGCCAGACAGGGTAACAACAAGTACCATCTTTTAACGTCTTTTGATATGACCACGATCGAACCGCGGATCGAACCCCGGACCTTCCGCTCTCCGGGCGGACGCTCTACCATTAGACCACAGAGGCGGTCCTGTCAGTTAGAAGAGCACAGTGACAGACTGTGTGTAACATCATGAATGTATTTTCTCAATCTCAAAGCACAAACTGATTTAAATGACTTCCTAGATTATTTCAGTTTAGTAATGCCTAATGCTTTCTTAGAACACTTCCAAAATGGCCCTTGAATTATTTTTATATGAGATATCACACTGTAACCTCATGCCTATAGACCCGTGAAGATCCGGGTCAAAATAGGTCTTCAGCAACCCATGCTTGCCTTAAAGGGCGACTATGCTTGTCGTAAGAGGCGACTAACAGGATCGGGTGGTCAGGCCCGCTGACTTGGTTGATGCATGTCATCAGGCTACACAACAACGGCCTGTAAATAATCTATTCTGGACCAGGCAACCAAGTGACCAAGCAAGATCCACTCTCCATGTCATCAAAGTGTCACACAATCAGCCAATCGCGGCCAGTCAAAGAGCCTGAATACCCGATCCCCGTTTCTGTCGGCTCTTAAGAAACTTTGGACCTATTCTGTCCCGGAATTCACGCAAGAGGCAATGAGTCTAAACTTCAAACAGACTGTAAGTGTTAAACTATTTCAATGAATTTAACATCACCTTCTTGGGATCATCAAAGTAGGTTTTGAACCTGTCATCATAGGACCTTATTTTTTCAGCATGCGGTCTTCCTTCTTGTCTGATGACATAGTGAAGTGTAATCTTTCGGATTTCAGGGTCAGATTTTAAGTATTTGCTGTTTCTGTTAGATATCACTATCTTCTTTGGAACCGGTTTATCATTCTCTTCTATGGTTTTGCCATACATTCGTATGATCCTTGGACATATCATCCCCAGCTTCGTCATCAGATAACCTATAATGATAAAAGATATGTGCAGCTGCTTCTTTTTCTGTTTTGTTTGTGTGTTGTTTAAGACCGTACTCCGCAATAGTCCAGCTATATGACGGCGGTCTGTAAATAATCGAGTGATTGACATCATTAGTATCGATCCACGCAAATGGGATACCATGACATGCATCAACTACGTCAGCGAGCCTGACCACCCGATCCCGTTAGTCGCCTTTTACGACAAGCATGGGTTGCTGAAGACCTCTTTTAACCCGGATCGGTGTCTTTTTTCTGAAAATGGCGAGTAGTTTATTGAGAGCAGCAGTTTTGTATGAATGCATAACAGTATAATATTACCCCGGTCAGTGGATCAGTGTGCACTCAACAATCATTCTCAGCTCCCTGGGCAGTATAGAACCCAAGCTGCCTGTGAGGTGTTAGAAGGTCAACACGTTATTATCTTCTGTTTTTTTCTGTGTTATTATCCATGTGTCAAATTGCACCATTCAGTCTAAGCACAATATATAGACATTAAGATATGCAATATTTTAGTTGTATCATGTCCTTTAATTTCTTGGTTTGAATTTATGCAGGTACTTTTGATGAATATCAGTGTACCATTAAGGGATTTTTTGTTTTGGAAAAAATAAATTGACCCAGAAAATACTTGAAAAGAAATAATGTTTAAGACTGTTTAAAAAGAAAGAAATTGTCCGCCAAAAAATATATTGTTTCAAGATGTTTAACGTCAAAAACGCATTTAGGCTCCTAGTTTAATTAAGAAACTATCTGGGGTCTGTTGATGTTATTAAACTTTTTTTATGCTGAGATTGAATGGGTTTCCTGACCAAAACGGTTATTTTGTTTAAAATGTCTGCCAGCCAATCTCATATTTACCAGCAACTAGATCCACCGATTTGTTGGAGGGTCCACAATACAGAACTTGCCGTTTGCTTTCATCAGAAGGTGGTTTTGTTCTGTTGATCTTGTTAAAGAGATACACCAATTTCAAACCAATACTGGTTTTTCCTGTTCCTGCAACCCGGGATAATGGTAATATGGAGATTGTAAAGACGTTATTGTGAAACCTTCCATATTATAGTTATTGTTACAACAGAACATAGCTTACTGTGTTGGAATATATAACTGAATCATATTTCGCGATAATTCTGAAATGTATCCAAACTAATCTTATTGAATGAGAGGATATCTCAAAGCAATAATAATTATAACTGAATATATACAGTACGAATACATTTCTCATCATCATTAAATCTGCCACCACGAGGTAGCTGAAATATTGCTGACTGCGGCGTTCAACAATATTCTCTCACTCATGTCTGTAAAAACTCCGGTGTGTAGAAACATCCAGCCAGGACCAGACAAACCAGTGATTAATGAACAACGTACCATGCCGTCGGTTAACTATACATTTTAGTCGACGCTAAATACCCGGTGAGACACACAGATTTTGTGAGATTGCTCAATCCCTCACGTCATCTGCATAACCTACCTGGCGGTCCTTGTATCAAACTAAATGGCCGATCCAGAGATTTACGAATGGCTATTTCCTGATTGTAATTGTTGCTGATCATTGTGGAGCAGATTTCTCGATCTTCGTCTGACAGGTCAGTAGAGCTCAGTTGTGCAGATTCTGTTTGAACAAATGCCACACACATATCTTTTACTGTTTGAACAAATGCCACACACATATCTTTTACTGTTTGAACAAATGCCACACACATATCTTTTACTGTTTGAACAAATGCCACACACATATCTTTTACTGTTTGAACAAATGCCACACACATATCTTTTACTGTTTGAACAAATGCCACACACATATCTTTTACTGTTTGAACAAATGCCACACACATATCTTTTACTGTTTGAACAAATGCCACACACATATCTTTTACTGTTTGAACAAATGCCACACACATATCTTTTACTGTTCATACAAAGTGTTTCATTTTAATTTTCTTTGCAAATGATGTCTATCATCTTTTATCAACATAATCAATTTCAACATATAATAGTTTGTTTGTTTGTTGTTTTACGCCGCACTCAGCAGTATTCCAGCTATATGACGGCGGTCTACATGTAAATAATCAAGTCTGGACCAGACAATCCAGTGATTGACATCATGAGCATCGCTCCACCAATTGGGATACGATGACATGCATCAACCAAGTCAGCGAGCCTGACCACCCGATCCCGTTAGTCCCCTTTTACGACAAGCATAGTCGCCTTTTACAGCTAGTATGGATTGCTGGTCGTTAAGACTTATTCTACCCCGGATCCTTGATTTCATCTAGTTTCACAATGTCATTCTGCTTACCTATTCTTGTTTTCAGTAGGCTCCAGTCTTTCAGTGCTATATTTTGGGCCAGGTCTGATCCCTCTGTGTCGAGCATCTCCAACATCTGTTCTGTTCTCCTTCGTACATAATAGGTTGTGAGGTGAAATGGGGTTTAACGTCGCGTCCAAAATTATTGCACTTATAAAGCGACGTGCATGCACACGTGTGTGTGTGTGTGTGTGTGTGTGTGTGTGTGTGTGTGTGTGTGTGTGTGTGTGTGTGTGTGTGTGTGTCTGCTTGTACTAGTCCGGACTGATGCCGATTTTATAGCGCTAGCACACTGAGACACCATGTCGCAGTTTTAACATGAACACCCCACTCAGATACAGTATACTGACTCCGAGCCGACCAGTCCTTGTTTTAGCCCCTTAATACCGAGCGCCAGACAGAGTAACAACAAGTAACATCTTTTAACGTCTTTTGATATGACGCGGCCGCGGATCGAACCCCGGACGCTCTACCACTAAACCACAGATTTGATAAAGAATACAAATACTATACATAGTGACGTGATATATTTTAAGTGATATTCCGCGATTTCAGAGAATTCAAATTAATAGTGTTGTCCTAAAATTCTTTCTTCCAAAACTTTACAGGTCTCTGGGAAGATTCCATATGGTACTAAAAGTATGCACACACACACACACACACACACACACACACACACACACACACACTTTTGTTATTGTTTGTTGTTTAACGCCACACTCAGCAATTGTCCAGCTATATGACGGCGGCCTGTAAATAAATCGAGTCTGGACCAGACAATCCAGTGATTGACGTCATGAGCATCGTTCCACGCAATTGGGTTGGGCGGTTGGTTGATACGATGACATGCATCAACCAAGTCAGCGAGAGCCTGACCACCCCATCCCATTAGTCAAATCTTACGACAATCATAGTCGCCTTTTACACCAAGTATAGGTTGCTGAGGACCTATTCTACCCCGGATCTTCATGGGTTTATATATCATCTGTAGGACAAAGTTACTATCCTTAGTCGACTCTATTTTACGTGTTCCCATTTTCAGTCCATTAAAAAATTATTTTCCGTTACCTGTCAACTTGAGATTTCAAGATGATCTCTGCAGCAGCGTCGAATTCTTGGTCGATCAAACTTGGTGGAGGTGGAATCGAATTTGGTCTCATTTCAAATGTTATTTGCACCGAACCTGCATGAGGATCATTGTCGGCAATGCTGCCTTTAGGCTTCTTCAATTTCACCTTCTTGATAAGGGCATGACCTACCCAAACACTGGCTGGGCTGAACATTGAACTTGGGTCATAATCACTCGGAGTATGCCTTATACACAGATAGTCTAGGGAGGAATCACTGGATGGCAAATCAAAGGAACTTTCACCACGTTTCATTTTGGCCATTCTGTCTACCCCCTTTCCACCTATTTCAATCTGTCGAAAATCGCAAAACTTAGCGTCAAGTATCAGTCGTCCGATAAGTCTGTGGCCATAGTTTCTCATTAATGTTTTCACGTTATGTATGACAATGGTTTCCTCGCTTCCAACAGAGTTCGTAGCACTTTCCATTCGAACCACCGGCAGCCATGTTTCCTGGTATTCCTGAATGAATCTGTACTTGCGATGTCTGAAGGGCTGCATCACATACTCAGCAAAGGTATGGACTGGATCATCCAAATGAGTCAGGCAAAGGTCATAGTTCTCACAGACGTGAAACAGCTGAACATACGGAGTGAGCATCCCTCTGTCTGGCTCTGCATGCACCTGGACTTTAACAATCTGTCCTGAATAGAAAGTCAATCTGAATCCATAGAAATGGCAAACTGATATATCCCCATATTTCTCATGAGCCAACCTCTTTTCTCCTCGTCTTTGAGAAACAAACATGTCTCCAATATCTGGTATGACTTCCCGTCTTCCAGATGTGTCAAACACTTTTTTCAATTTTTGGGCAAAATCTTGAAATGGAATTTTTTCAGTATGCATATTTTCATCAAGTAAAATGTTAAATTGTTCTGGATTTTTAACTCGGTTTAAGTTTGTTTTATCTCTTCCTTCCCTTTGGCGTCGTTCTTCATATCTGTAGATACGCTTTCTCCAGAAACACAGAACTTGTTCCCTCCCTGATGGGGATGTTTCTAAAACCGGTTTTTTACAGCAGTCTAGCAGATTGAGGGGCAACTCTAATCGCCTGTACGATGTACCTCTCAGAGATGGAATCCATAATGCTACAATGCTGTCACTGACCTTTTCAACAACTGCATTGAATGTCATTGGTTTCTTTGAAAGCATTTCACTCTTTCTTAGTGTTCTGCAAGTATTCTTGAATTTGGTTTCTCTTTGGCATGCTTCTGTCATTTGCTCACATGCCTTTTCCACTTCCGCTTGTGTGTATGGAGCTTCCTTCTCATCTAATACAGCATGGACGAGTCTGTGGGTGATCAGGTCCACATATCTTCTGAGCGGAGATGTAAAGTGGGTGTACGGGAACAGGTTGAGTGAAAAGTGCCCAGTGTTTTTCCTCCCTTCCGAAGAGCATCTGTAAGCTGCTGATTCCAAGATATGAATCCAATGTTGACTTGCAAGGCATTGCAATGGATGCAATTCGTCACAGCAGAGAAGGTCTCTTGTTTGTTTAAAGTCGTTCGCTCCCTTGACTTCTTTCATTTGATCCCATACTGTTTTCTGTACTGAAATCACATGTGCATGTGTTTCATTGTTGTTCTGGCTACAATGTTTTGCTACACTGCATTCCCTGTCCTCAAGAACATGCACACCCTGTAATTTGACAAGAAGGTCGATGATGTGTCCTTCCCTTCTAACCCAGTGAACACGTTTCTCCACGGAAGGAGCAGATTGACATCGTAAGGGGATACAGTGTCGCCAAGTTTCCATCAGCCATTCACCAATGAAAGTATTAGTTCTAATCATGAATTCCTCAACTAGATTGTGTGCATCAATATCTCCTTGTTTGTTTTCAATATTGACAAACCTAGGATCTTCCAAGCGTACGTCGTATCTTGAATTTCCCAGTCGTTGTTTGCGAAAGTGTTTAGCTAATACATGAAGGACACGTATGCTACTCTTTAGTGACTGTTTACATTCAAAGTGTATTGGGCGACCATCAATGATGTTTTGAACCTCTCCGTATGAAAACTTTCTGTCAGACCTAATGACGCTCCTGGACACTGAAGGTTTTTCAAGAATGTTTCCTCTTTTGTCTATCTTAAAGAGCACAGAAATTGAAAATCTATCAACGTTCGGCAAGAGACTCAAAGAGCCTTGACTAAGTTTTTCAGGGATCATATGGTGACCCTTGTCTTCCGAAGCAAAGAAGGTTGTGGCTCTTTTCTCAGCCGCCTGGTCAATATCATCTGCTTTCTTCACAAAAGTGGTCACGTCAGTGATGTGAACTCCTACCAATAGAATGTCCTCATGTCCCAACTTCCAAACACTCAGAGCATCATCTAAATCTTTAGAATTAGGATTATCAACTGTAAATGCTGACAAATGTTGATACTCCTCTCGCTGTGTACCTTGAGTTTGGAGAAATTCCTTTGATTCAATCTTTTCAACCAGGGATACAGTTGCCTTTACAGTGTCATTTCGATAATATCGAGGAACTTTGAACTGTGGTATTAAAACATTGAGGCCACTTTCAAACGTTGTTCCACATTCCAGGACTTTGACAACTGCTCCTTGTGGGTAGGGAAACGGTTTACTCCAAGACATAAGAACAACAAGAAGAACATATTGTCCCTTCTTACTGTGATCTATTTCACAACATGAAATAAATTTCAGTTGTTTACCTTTCTCATAGGAGTGTAAATCTATAAAATGTTTGTTAGTTTGCGTGTCGGTAGAATATAGGCTTAAGCTGTGGAAGTCTTGTTTTTGTTGTGTGGAATTACGAGACCAGATACGAATTCTCGGTATACTATTACACATTGGCGTGACTACATTGTTCTCCCTGCTGTTGACAGTGCATGCTAAGACAGGGAATCGTGTCTCCCGAAATTTGCTTCGCAACACCCCCTCTACCTTACCATTCAGTTTACCATCAGAACTAGCATTGTCTTCATCTTCATCCGCTTTCTTGTCTAAAATTTCTACTACAACTTCATCTTTGTTGAAAGTGTATCCGATTTTACTTCTTCCGTGAATCTCAATTTCTTGGTGATCATTTCCCTCTTCCAGGATTTGACACACAGCAAAATGAGGTCCTTTCAGGTTAATTAGACACCTCTTGTACTTCTGTGGCTCCTGTTGCAACTTTGTATGAAGTTCCTCATTTACGCGGAGTTGTAGGGCATCCTCGAATGCTTCCTTTGGCCAGTACACTATTTTAAGACCTTCTCCGACCACAATGTCGTCCGTGTCTTCTCCGTCATATCTCCCCTGACTTTGTTCGAACCATGTCTTAGCTGGCTGCTCCTCCTCAACATCCGATCTGTCTGATGTAGCTGAAGAGGTATCACCTTCCGATTCTGATTCACTGTCTTCTGAACCCTTAGAATTAGTTGAAGTATCTTCATTGGGATGTTCCTGTCCTTGGCCATCACTTCTACAGTACACTGCAGATTGTATCGGTGTATTGCGACGCATCATCTGAACCTAATATATAAAAAAAAGATAAACAGTTACTGTTTGGTTTGTTGTTTAACGTTGCACTCGGAAATAGTCTAGCTATATGACGGCGGTCTGTTAATATTCGAACCTTGACCTTGACCTTGACCTTGCGATAACTAGTATTTTTATCTCATGATGTGATAAAGTTACTTAAGACAAATTCTAACTTGGATCATCACAGAGACTCTTTAATTGAATAATCTTCACATCGTTATTAAAAGAAGGATGGGAGTAGGCAGTAGGCAGATACACTTACTCTCCCAACTATAAATAATTAAATAAAAGTTGAAGTTGACTTATTTAATATACAAGATTAAAACCTTTGGGCCCATCTTCAGCCATAGTGAACACCAATTGTCCAACTCCAGCTTTTGAAGTACAGTAAACTACATTTATAACGAACACGCTTATCAATCAATCAGTTTATTCATATATAACTGTAAAGCCACAGGCCCATAGTACAGAATACATGACAATGTGGAAGCGGTTAGAAATGTTACAAGGATTCATTTCTTAATAACATGGCATGATATATAAAGAGAGAGCCTTTTGCTCACAAGTGATATTAAAGAGATAAACTTGTATGTATTTGGATGTACATAGTAGTTTTGTTCAATATATTTTTTCCTTAAATTATCATATTTACAACATACAAGTAGAAAATGAAATTCATCTTCGACAACATTTAAAGAACATTGTCTACATAATCTTAAACATTTGGGTATTTTTTTGTTCCTGCCAACTTCAACCATTAACCTGTTTGAGCTGCATCTAAATTGTGTTAATTATATTCTGCATTTTCTGATATTTACATTGTAGTTAAATATTTTTTCTGCGCACATTTGCATTTTAAAATATCTAAAATATTCGCATTTGCTGGAAACATCTACAGTAGATCCTCATGTTTGAAAGAACATGTCAAAAAGCGTCTGCCTTATTTTCGATATGAACATGGCATGATTCTCTAAGAAACATTGGTTGTCACAGATGTAACCATACCCACATTTATACAGCAGACATTTAACATTGTATGCCCAATTTTGATCTCAATTCTTTTCATACAATAGCATCATATTATAACATTTTTTGGGCAATCTACTTACTGGCATTTTTAGTAATTTTAACCAATATCTTTTGATTTTTTAGTAGTGATATATATACAAGGGCATGCGACCACATTCACCTTAAACCATCACGTTAGAAGTAATGTGTTTAACACCAAGAAATCTTTTGCATGCGTATAAATGTACGGACTCAATTTCTTTAGCCTCTGCAAAACCCCATATTTCCGAACCATAGGAAAGAATAGGAGCTATTTTTGTGTCAAAAATTTTGAAGAAAGATTTGTAAGCACACTCGCTAAAATGTTCAAACATTTGTAAAATTCACAATAACATCTTTTCAGCTTGGATTGCTGCATTACACATATGTCGGTTCCATGATAATTTACTTGAAAATTTACACCAAGATATTTATATGAGGTTTCAGTTTGAAGTAATTGTCCCCGAAAGTACCACTTTTCGTTTTTGACAGCGTATTTCCTTTGCTAAATACAACATTTTTTGTCTTTTCTAGATTAACATTAAGTTTCCAAGTATCACAGTACAATTCTAGCTGATTTATCAAAGTCTGTAAACCTTTTACAGTACTTGAGAAAGTGATTATATCATCTGCAAATAGTAACATAAATATTTTTATAAGTTCAGGATGTAATTGTATACCATCATCATAATTTCTTTTGATTTGGGCTGCAAGCTCATTAATGAAAAAAAAGAACAAAAAAGGGCTTAATACACATCCTTGGCGTACACCAGTATGGCAGATAAAATAATCTGAATACATGCCGTTTTGTTTAACACATGATTTAACTTCCTTATAAATACCACATAACAATTTACCCATTTTATTACTGACACCATGTGAATTAAATAGGTACCATAACTTATCTCTACAGACTGAATCGAATGCTTTAGAAAAGTCTACAAATATAGCGTACAAATTTTTTTCTACGTTTACGTTGAATATACCCATCTATAAGAGCCTGGATGATCAACATATTATCAGTGGTTGAGTAACCTTGTCGGAAACCTGCTTGCCCTTCCTCAATCTTATCAAGTGTATCCGACCACAATACCAAGCGTTTATTCATAATGCTAAGAAATATCTTACTGAATATACTGGTAAGTGTAATCCCCCTATAATTTTCAACATCTGTCACTGAGCCTTTTTTGTGAATTGGAACGATTGTTCCAAGTGTCCAACCTTTTGGAAAGGAAGAGGTATCCATTATTGTATTAAATAATATTACCAATTACGACAGGGTATTATCGTGAACTGGCCGATATAACGAACCTATTTTTTAGTCCATTTGTTGTATATATGCTGTATATATGCTTATAACAAACTACGGTTATTTCGAACTAAAATCAGTGGTCCTTTGAGTTCGTTATAACCGTACTGTGGTAGGCTTCTATAAAATCACTTAATGTCTGTGAGTACAGCAGTATATACTACCCGGTTCATTGTTGCAACTCCGTATACCGTGTCAATACAGTCTGCCTTGCAACCAACAGACCATAGTGTCAATAGGACTTGGTACATATCGTTAATCACCCACGTGTATGCTCAGGATGAAAACACAACCATTATATGATCAATATATGTGTACAATTGCGGGTCGCTTTGACAACAGGGGCGGCTATTATATAAGCTGGATACACATTACGCACAGCGCATTGTTTCCTCGGTACAATACGCCCCAACGCGAGCTCTGCCATATTGCAGCGCTGCACGCTGACTCAATATTCGTCAATAAATAATTCCATGGGAAGCATGTTTCGTGGACGGGGCAAACGAAGTGACACTGTTATTGGATTAAATTCCATTATCGTCTCTTCAAGGACGTTTTATGCAGTTATGTTAACCGACTGTTGATTTAACGTTCACGTCCATTCGTTACAACAGTAGGGGTTAATAAGAGCAATATGCATGTATCAGTGTTATGAGGACTGCCATGGGCTGGTGAGAGTATATGAATAATACTTACGGTGACTGCAGATTGACTGTTTACGGCCCAATTAGTAGGAGCTCGCAATGTCGTACGGTTTATCTTCTATAGGTTATGCATGATAGCAAAATCGATATAAACGACCCGGATGTCCTTTCAACAAAACTGGGGATTGCCTAAAAGTCGGGCCGGGCCGGGCCAAGACGGGCCAAAGTGTTATTGGCTAATTACTTAATTATCGGCGATCATATCTACATATTATTGATGCAACATACACACATGACACTACTGAACAATCACCAATCCAAAACGTGCAGCATAATTAAGTAATTCGGAGTAAATCACTTAAAAACTAGAAAGTGGAGCTGTGTGTTAGCGTCGCTGATCTAGGTAACATGTAAAAGAGCAATCGTTAAACGAAATAGGATTTGACACGTATCAAATACTTCTAGCTATCGTCATACGAATTTCCATCTGTCGGCATACCGTTTATATTATAGGAACGTACTATATCTAAGTAAATACCACTTTATAACGTCACTGTTCATCGTATTTAAAGCAGACACGTTGGTTAAAGTAGACCTCTTCTCCCTCTACTCTCGACAGTCACACAGTTCGCTCCGACTTGGCCCGGGCTGTCAAAATCAACTTTAAACAGACAGATTTAACTTCAAATGTGATTACCTCTATAGATTAGTGTTATATCTACCTATACATCACTTTATAATGTTACAGATCGCAGTATTTATAGACAACAAGGGGCTCGAAGTGAAGCCCTTTTCCCTCTACATTCTCAACATAGTCTCTATCAGAAGTGTTTGGCTTGTGTTGGGTCCGACTTGGCCCGGGCGGTCAAAATCAACTTTAAACACACAGATGTATCTTCAAATGTGATTAAATCTATAGATTAGTATTATATCTACCTATACACCAATTTATAATGTCCAGGTGTATCGCATTTAAAGAAATCTGCGCCCTTAAAGTGAAGCATTTTTACTTTATTTTCTTTAAAAAATCCAAGTCAGAAATGTTCGGTCCGACCTGGCCCGGGCTGTTAAAATCAACTTAAACCTCACAGATGTATCTTCAAATGTGATTAAATCTATAGATTAGTATTATATCTACTTATACACCACTTTATAATGTCACAGATTGCAGTATTTATAGACAACAAGGGGCTCGAAAGTGAAGCCCTTTTCCCTCTACATTCTCAACATAGTCTCTATCAGAAGTGTTTGGCTTGTGTTGGGTCCGACTTGGCCCGGGCGGTCAAAATCAACTTTAAACACACAGATGTATCTTCAAATGTGATTAAATCTATAGATTAGTATTATATCTACCTATACAACAATTTATAATGTCCAGGTGTATCGCATTTAAAGAAATCTGCGCCCTTAAAGTGAAGCATTTTTACTGTATTTTCTTTAAAAAATCCAAGTCAGAAATGTTCGGTCCGACCTGGCCCGGGCTGTTAAAATCAACTTAAACCTCACAGATGTATCTTCAAATGTGATTAAATCTATAGATTAGTATTATATCTACTTATACACCACTTTATAATGTCACAGATTGCAGTATTTATAGACAACAAGGGGCTCGAAAGTGAAGCCCTTTTCCCTCTACATTCTCAACATAGTCTCTATCAGAAGTGTTTGGCTTGTGTTGGGTCCGACTTGGCCCGGGCGGTCAAAATCAACTTTAAACACACAGATGTATCTTCAAATGTGACTAAATCTATAGATTAGTGTTATATCTACCTATACACCAATTTATAATGTCACAGATCGCAGTATTTATAGAAGACATGGGGCTTAAAGTGAAGCCCTTTTCCCTCTACATTCTCAACATAGTCTCTATCAGAAGTGTTTGGCTTGTGTTGGGTCCGACCTGGCCCGGGCTGTTAAAATCAACTTAAACCTCACAGATGTATCATCAAATGGATTCACATCTATAGATTAGTATTATATCTACCTATACATCACTTTATAATATCACAGATTGCAGTATTTATAGACAACAAGGGGCTCGAAAGTGAAGCCCTTTTCCCTCTACATTCTCAACATAGTCTCTATCAGAAGTGTTTGGCTTGTGTTGGGTCCGACTTGGCCCGGGCGGTCAAAATCAACTTTAAACACACAGATGTAACTTCAAATGTGATTAAATCTATAGATTAGTGTTATATCTACCTATACACCAATTTATAATGTCCAGGTGTGTCGCATTTAAAGAAATCTGCGCCCTTATAGTGAAGCATTTTTACTGTATTTTCTTTAAAAAATCCAAGTCAGAAATGTTCTGTCCGACCTGGCCCGGGCTGTTAAAATCAACTTAAACCTCATAGATGTATCATCAAATGGATTCACATCTATAGATTAGTATTATATCTACCTATACACCACTTTATAATGTCACAGATTGCAGTATTTATAGACAACAAGGGGCTCGAAAGTGAAGCCCTTTTCCCTCTACATTCTCAACATAGTCTCTATCAGAAGTGTTTGGCTTGTGTTGGGTCCGACTTGGCCCGGGCGGTCAAAATCAACTTTAAACACACAGATGTATCTTCAAATGTGATTAAATCTATAGATTAGTGTTATATCTACCTATACACCAATTTATAATGTCCAGGTGTGTCGCATTTAAAGAAATCTGCGCCCTTAAAGTGAAGCATTTTTACTGTATTTTCTTTAAAAAATCCAAGTCAGAAATGTTCGGTCCGACCTGGCCCGGGCTGTTAAAATCAACTTAAACCTCACAGATGTATCATCAATGGATTCACATCTATAGATTAGTATTATATCAACCTATACATCACTTTATAATGTCACAGATTGCAGTATTTATAGACAACAAGGGGCTCGAAAGTGAAGCCCTTTTCCCTCTACATTCTCAACATAGTCTCTATCAGAAGTGTTTGGCTTGTGTTGGGTCCGACTTGGCCCGGGCGGTCAAAATCAACTTTAAACACACAGATGTATCTTCAAATGTGACTTAATCTATAGATTAGTGTTATATCTACCTATACACCAATTTATAATGTCCAGGTGTATCGCATTTAAAGAAATCTGCGCCCTTATAGTGAAGCATTTTTACTGTATTTTCTTTAAAAAATCCAAGTCAGAAATGTTCGGTCCGACCTGGCCCGGGCTGTTAAAATCAACTTAAACCTCACAGATGTATCATCAAATGGATTCACATCTATAGATTAGTATTATATCTACCTATACACCACTTTATAATGTCACAGATTGCAGTATTTATAGACAACAAGGGGCTCGAAAGTGAAGCCCTTTTCCCTCTACATTCTCAACATAGTCTCTATCAGAAGTGTTTGGCTTGTGTTGGGTCCGACTTGGCCCGGGCGGTCAAAATCAACTTTAAACACACAGATGTAACTTCAAATGTGATTAAATCTATAGATTAGTGTTATATCTACCTATACACCAATTTATAATGTCCAGGTGTGTCGCATTTAAAGAAATCTGCGCCCTTAAAGTGAAGCATTTTTACTTTATTTTCTTTAAAAAATCCAAGTCAGAAATGTTCGGTCCGACCTGGCCCGGGCTGTTAAAATCAACTTAAACCTCACAGATGTATCATCAAATGGATTCACATCTATAGATTAGTATTATATCAACCTATACATCACTTTATAATGTCACAGATTGCAGTATTTATAGACAACAAGGGGCTCGAAAGTGAAGCCCTTTTCCCTCTACATTCTCAACATAGTCTCTATCAGAAGTGTTTGGCTTGTGTTGGGTCCGACTTGGCCCGGGCGGTCAAAATCAACTTTAAACACACAGATGTATCTTCAAATGTGACTTAATCTATCGATTAGTGTTATATCTACCTATACACCAATTTATAATGTCCAGGTGTATCGCATTTAAAGAAATCTGCGCCCTTATAGTGAAGCATTTTTACTGTATTTTCTTTAAAAAATCCAAGTCAGAAATGTTCGGTCCGACCTGGCCCGGGCTGTTAAAATCAACTTAAACCTCACAGATGTATCATCAAATGGATTCACATCTATAGATTAGTATTATATCTACCTATACACCACTTTATAATGTCACAGATTGCAGTCTTTATAGACAACAAGGGGCTCGAAAGTGAAGCCCTTTTCCCTCTACATTCTCAACATAGTCTCTATCAGAAGTGTTTGGCTTGTGTTGGGTCCGACTTGGCCCGGGCGGTCAAAATCAACTTTAAACACACAGATGTATCTTCAAATGTGATTAAATCTATAGATTAGTGTTATATCTACCTATACACCAATTTATAATGTCCAGGTGTGTCGCATTTAAAGAAATCTGCGCCCTTAAAGTGAAGCATTTTTACTTTATTTTCTTTAAAAAATCCAAGTCAGAAATGTTCGGTCCGACCTGGCCCGGGCTGTTAAAATCAACTTAAACCTCACAGATGTATCATCAAATGGATTCACATCTATAGATTAGTATTATATCAACCTATACATCACTTTATAATGTCACAGATTGCAGTATTTATAGACAACAAGGGGCTCGAAAGTGAAGCCCTTTTCCCTCTACATTCTCAACATAGTCTCTATCAGAAGTGTTTGGCTTGTGTTGGGTCCGACTTGGCCCGGGCGGTCAAAATCAACTTTAAACACACAGATGTATCTTCAAATGTGACTAAATCTATAGATTAGTGTTATATCTACCTATACACCAATTTATAATGTCCAGGTGTATCGCATTTAAAGAAATCTGCGCCCTTAAAGTGAAGCATTTTTACTTATTTTCTTTAAAAAATCCAAGTCAGAAATGTTCGGTCCGACCTGGCCCGGGCTGTTAAAATCAACTTAAACCTCACAGGTGTATCACCAAATGGATTCACATCTATAGATTAGTATTATATCAACCTATACATCACTTTATAATGTCACAGATTGCAGTATTTATAGACAACAAGGGGCTCGAAAGTGAAGCCCTTTTCCCTCTACATTCTCAACATAGTCTCTATCAGAAGTGTTTGGCTTGTGTTGGGTCCGACTTGGCCCGGGCGGTCAAAATCAACTTTAAACACACAGATGTATCTTCAAATGTGACTTAATCTATAGATTAGTGTTATATCTACCTATACACCAATTTATAATGTCCAGGTGTGTCGCATTTAAAGAAATCTGCGCCCTTAAAGTGAAGCA